GTATATGTAACATATTTTCTATGTTTTTTTGCAAGACTAATTACATTTTGTAACAGTTTAATAAGTACTTTATGCCACATGTTTTTCAAAATTGGTAACACTGATATTAAACATTTTGTAACAAAATTTTGACATTTCTGGGCTACACGTTTAGATATAAAATAACATGCTTGGATTTTGTTTACTTATAGCTAACAGCAACAAAAACAATAATGAATACATGCATATATATGTACCATAAAAGTGAGCATATGTTGCCACATACAGGAAATAAAATTTATACGATGTATTACTCCAGAAAAAAAACAAAACAGTGCATGCACAGACTAACAAAAAAATTAAATGATGGGACTTACTCCAACAAATTTTAAAGTTCACTCTACAAAAAGGTATCACCTCGTCAAAATAAAATATATTAATGCTGGGAAAAGTAAACTCCATAATTTAAACTATCAATTCATGAAAAACTCCCAAAAAATAGAAAAGGAAAATAATGTAACAACTAACAATTACCATTTCATAAAAGGATCTTCATAAGAAAAAAATTATATTTACGCCCTTTGGTTCTTTTGTGTGTAACTAACACTCTAGAATAACTCTTGCAACATTGGAGGTGGTCCCTGACCTTACGCAGTTACGCGTATGTAAAAAAATATAGTGATGAGGGAACGCGCAAGTCGTCTCTGTTAATATCAAGCAATAAAACTCTCATAGATTACAAAATGGAAACTATAAAGCATTTTCCAATCCAGCTATATAACTATGGGAATCCCAAGGGACAAAGAAAATCAGTCTAGTTTGTTAACAACAGGAGCATTTTGTTTTTTAGGGTTTTGCTCAACCTCTTTCACCTTACATGACATACATTTTGGTACACTTCATCAAAGCATCCTAGTTCAAACAGATTAGTATCTAAATTATTAGAGAGGAGATCTCAAAACCAAATAAAAACACCATTTTGACTATTCTCATTTCTCATTTCAGATTTCCGCTGCACCTCTTCAAGTACACAAGTACACAATCACTAATAATGCAAAATATTCAATAACTCAAAAACCTCAACGAAAAAGAAACTGACTACCTGCTTGACCAAGCCCCCGGTTCTCGGAACATTCACTGAATCCCAGTGCGCTCCAGAATAAGAAGCTTTTATCGTACCAGTTTTATAAGCAGGACACTTCAATTTAATAACCACCATCAGTTTCCTATCAAGCATTGAGAATAAAATAAAATTTAATATAATTACTCAAAAATGGACACTCAACGGTATACATAAAGAATGCAGAGAGAGAGACCTAAAAGGTAAGTGTTTGAGAGGTATACATACAAGGGCGTAGACAGGGGTGGCCATCCCGGGCCATGGCCCAGCCCAAATTTTAAAAATGTCTAAATTTTTAGGGGGTAAAAAATTCCGAGTAAATTTTTTTTCAAAAATATTCTTTGTACCGGCCCAGTGTCCTGGCTCCGCAAAATACATAAACAATGCAGTTCTATCCTTTTTTTAGCCCAAAAATTTACCGAGGTGGGATAAGTGCTGGGTGATTCTATCCTAGTTTTGCTTTGACTTATATTTTCTCATAGACCACATTTGACTCTCACACAGCCTGTGTAAGCCGAGAATGCTCCTAAAGTAAACAAATAGTGTAACAAACTATATTTGAAGTGTTTTGAAAGAAAATATAAAGTACTTGTTGGTGATAACTTTGAAGTGTTTTTTCTTATCACCTTTTTTAAATTTTTATGTAAACAAACTAATTTAAAAAATTATTATGCTATTAAAAAACACCAAAAAATATGTTCTTCCAAAAAAATGCTTGATTTTCAAACACCTTTTTACTCCCCTCCCCCCCCCCCCCCCCCCCCCCCCAAGAAAAAAAAAAGCCAGGTGTGATCATAAGAAGCTAATTTGTCAGTAATTTGCTAAGAAAGTCACAATTTATGGTTGATAAGAAAGGCAAAAGCATTTCCAAACAGCAGCATGCATGATAAAAGCTTAATAGCCATTTAAGATATAAAAACCGAATACCACAAAGAACTACTCGTACCAATTTTTATTTCCAATGTATCTCAAAACAAAGAACTACCAATTGTGTGCATGCAATGCCATGCTCCGAGCTATTCTTGTTAATTTAGGAAACAGATCAGATCAGTCAACAACTCTAGCCATACTGGTGTTTCTTATTCAAATCAACTAACTCTGCTTTTTTTTTAAAGAGAACTAACTTTCTGTTTGTATTTGTTAAACAATGAAGTAACTTTAAACCAATAAACTTTTATTTGTTTTTACTATATATCTTATTTTGTGAAGTATATACTTTAAATGTTCAAAATAATACCCCGTATTTTTTGTCCGAATTTTTGTAACATATACCATATTATACACGTATACGTATTCACACGGTTTTTAAAAGTCAACGTATTTTTCAACGAACTAGTATCTCACCCGTGCGATGCATGGTACAAAATATTTTCCAAAATAATAATATCATATTAATAGTTTTATAACTAAAATGTTATTATTGGATAAAAATATAATAGTAGGAAGTGAATAGGGGCATTGCAAATAGAGAAAAAAAATTAAAATAAAAAGAAGTGAATCAGATGAAGGAATTCCAAATAAGTGTAGAGAATGAAAAGAAATGAGATCCATGCAAAATAAAAATATGATTATTATTTAGTGTACGTTTGTTTTTCCGGCTTATCATGGGTTGAATTGTATAATACTCCGTAATAAGAACATGTAAGGTTAGAGTTACTTTTCTAGCTGTATTGACTGAAGTTCCTGCAGATGACAATTTTAGCCATTTTTCACATAATTTTTTCTTTATTTTATTAATAAATTATATTTTAAATATAGCGTTTCCATAAATCAAGAGAATCAGCCAATACACCAACTTCGGCCAGAACTTCATAAATTTCAGCAGAGGCAATCGATTTAGCCGATTTCAGTGTTACCAAACGGGCTCTTTAAGTGTTCTAACTCTTTTATATATACTCTAATTTTTACAAAAAACTTTCTCTTTTCTTGGTCAATGAAATCGACTTTGACCAATGATATCTTTTAATACAAAATTATTTTGAAGGTGTTTTTTGGAAGACGAAATTATTTTGAATATAAAAATTATATCAAAATGTTCCTTATTCAAAAAACTTTCATAAAAGTATAAAATTCATAAATTATATACAAATATAATAATTAAACTCATCGTCTAAAGTTAACAATCATTGATCAAGAAAAAACAATTTGACGAACCTTTCCGCGACAGAGGTAATATCAAAATTCGTTACTTTTCACGATCTTTTATATGACGCCACATTGTATATGTATAAAGTTTTGAAATTGAAGTTTCAACCGGAGGAGGTTTTCAAAATGGGAGTACATTTAAAAAATTACAACAATTTAAAGAAAATAAAAAATGGGTTTTTACTTGGCCCCCACTTTTTTCAAAATTGGGTTCATTTGGAAGTTGGAACAGGGCTTTCCGATCATAAATCAGCCTCGTGTTATGAGAAGGGCGGCATGAAAAGTGAAAACCCCCGTAAATCTGTCATTTCATTCGTGCATAGAATAGGATAATTCAACAATATAAATAATTTAATAACTAATAATTGCGCTATGTACAATTATTTTAATAGATTTATCATTTATAGAGCAAGACAAATGACCGCTAAACAAAAACAAATTAAATACAACAAAGTAGAACATAAACGTTTTGGAATTATACAATCGACGCATTTATGTTTCAATCACATGAACTCTCGTAATTATTTCATAATAGAACTTTGGGACCATATTATCCATCATGTTAGCTATAACAATACAAAATAATGTATGAAGAAACACAATTAAATAAAATTATTTTTTGGATTTCCTAATATTTTTCATTTGTTCGATCAAAGGGAAATGTGTGGAAATGCTTTCAAATATATAAAAGCCAAATCCTAATTTATTTATTTTTACATCTAATTGTTTAACTGTTTTAAATTATAAATACTTTCTCCGTATTCTAAAGTTTGCTACATTTTCCTTTTTGGGATGTATTTAAAAGTTTGTTACAATTTCTCTTTTTGGTAAGTGTTTTTGCATTAATTATCTATGATAAACAAAGAAATAATTGCCCAAATAATACTATTTGAGTTTCAATTCACAATTATATGACTAAATTAGATTTTGACCAAAAAGTGACCCGGGCGGCCTTTTCTCTCCATCTCCGCATCTCGCATCCACTGCCATCCAGTTCCCAGCTCTGCGCTCATCTCCATTCGGACGGCCTCCACCACCTCTGACGCATCATACTACTATCGCTCCTTCTCCTATTCAGCCGCCGCTACTCTTCTTCTTCTTCTTCTTCTTCTTCTTCTTCTTCTTCTTCTTCTTATTCTTCTTCTCCTTTCTTCTCAACCGTAAATCTAGCATCGCCGCTTCAGAGCACCTCCTTCGTTTTCATCTTCGACGGTGTGTCTCGATTGCCGCCGCTTTGGAGAACCTCCGTCGTTGTCTTCTTTGATGGAGCGTCTCCATAGCCGCCGCTCAAAATCATGTCAAGATCTGCAGATTTCTGGATCCCCACAGCTAGATTTTTCAGATCCATTTGTCTAAGGTTTCAGTCTAGACAATAGTCTGGTGGTGGGGCGATGGGGAACTGATGAGTGATAGTGACAGGGCCAGATGGGGGTTGTTGGGGTGTGCGTTGTGGACCGTGGTGGGGGTGGCCGGGATGTGCCTTGCGGGCCACGGTGGTGCTGGTCACCGCATACTGGAGTGACGAAGGTCTAGTGGTGATGTCACTTTGGCGAGTAGATTTTTGGGGGCTTTGTATAAAAGATATATACTAGTTAATTTGTTATTATCCTTACTTAATAATCTTTAGCTAATGTTTATCTAGATATAACCGTATGTATATATCTGTTGTAACCAATCTGATAGAGTTAGACTGTAACTCTACTTCTAGTCTTATAAATACTGATGTAATACGTAGCTTTACAATTGAAGGATACACATTATTTACATGGTATTCAGAGCCTTGTAGAATTCTTCTCTACATTTTTTTTTTCTCCGTCTCCTCCTCATGGAGATCACACAAGCTACCACTCTTGTTCAACTCAACGCCCCAACGAACTTTCCCATCAAATTATCTGCAACCAACTTTCCGGTATGGCGCCGGCAAATTGAAGCCACTCTCATCGGGTTTGATCTTCTTCCATACATCGATGGTTCTCTTATTGTTCCGTCTCAGTTCAACGATGATGCCAAGAAGGTTCCAAATCCATGCTATTCCACGTGGTTCCGCCAGAATCAGATCCTTATTAGCGCGTTTCTTGGGGGCTGCACCGAACCTGTTCAACCCCTTCTCTCGGCCGTTACCACCGCAAAGGAGGCCTGGGATGTTCTTCTCACCAGTTATGCAAATGCCTCTCCCGGTCGTATTCTTGCACTCAAAAGCAAACTCTCTCGTAATCCCCGTGGCAACAGATCCATTCCGACTTACTTGAAAGACATGCAAGAGATTGCCGGTGATTTGGCATTGGCGAAAAATCCTGTTTCTGACACTGATTTGCAGATATTTATTCTCAATCAGTTAGGAGATGATTACCGATCTATTATCAGTGCACTCCGGGTACGTAATACACCCACATCCATGCTTGAACTTTCAGAGATTCTCACGGATCATGAACGTTTACTCAAAGATTCTGAAGATGATGGACCCTCTTTTCTGCCTACCGCTAATATTACTCAAAGTCAGCCTTCATCTGGGTCTGCTTTATCTGATTTCCGCAAGCGAGATCACCTCTCTGGGCATCGCAGCAACTCCGGACACCGTCCGACTCAGTCCTCTTCTGGTAGTGTTTCTCCAGTCCCTGCGGCTGGCCGCTCACGTGCAGTTTGTCGTTTTTGTAACTTTTCAGGTCATGTAGTCAAAGATTGCCGCAAACTTGCCCGATTTTTACGGGATAATCAAATTCATACACCGCCTGTTGTCAATACTATGACTCACAGTGATCTCTCTGGATCTTCTCAACCATGGCTTTTTGACTCCGGAGCGTCTCATCATGCAGCTTCCGGAGTGGCTTCCTTGCAGGAGTTTTCAACTTATGATGGTCCTGATGAAATCCGCCTGGGAAACGGTACGTGTCTTCCTATCACTCATATTGGTCAAACCACTGTTTCGACATCTACCCGTCCTCTTTCTCTTAATCAAGTCCTCTGTGTTCCTCACTTAAACAAAAATCTTGTTTCGGTTTCTAAACTCTGTCAAACTAATCAAGTTTCTGTGGAATTTTTTCCTTCTTATTTTGTTGTGAAGGACCAGAAAACCGGCACTCACATCATGAGGGGTAGAAATGTCAACGGTGTTTATTATGCTCCCACCACTGTTGGTTCACCTACAATCAATGCTACCAGTTTGTCTTCCGTGTCTCATCTTCATCATAGCCTGGGACACCCATCAAATAAGATTCTAGTTACTCTATTGAATAAATGTGACATGAATGTATCATCCAAGGCCATTCGTGACTTTACTTGTACTTCTTGTCATATTAATAAAAGTCATAAATTACCTTTTGCAGTTAATTCTCTTACTAGTTCTCGTCCACTAGATCTAGTTTACACCGATGTTTGGAGTACAAAACAAATGTCTTGTGATGGTTACTACTATTATGTTATATTTGTTGATCATTTCACAAAATATAGCTGGTTGTATCCTCTAAAAAGGAAATCTGAGGTCTCCACTATTTTCCCTCAATTCAAACGTCTAGTTGAACATAAACTCAATCAGAAAATTGTCACTATTTTTTCTGACAATGGTGGTGAATTTATCAAATTATTGCCCATGCTTAATTTATCTGGCATTTCTCATCTCACCACCCCACCTCACACTCCCGAACATAACGGGACTGCTGAGCGTCGACACAGACATATTGTTGAGACCGGTTTGTCCCTTTTACACACGGCTGCTCTTCCCCTTACATTCTGGCCTCACGCCTTTCAAACAGCGGTTTATCTAATTAATCGTCTGCCTACGCCATTATTAAATTATGACTCCCCATACAAACGTTTGTTTCAGACTGAACCTGACTACCAAAAATTAAAACCATTTGGTTGTTTGTGTTTTCCTTGGTTACGCCCTTATACTAGTCATAAACTGCAACCCAAATCTGTCCCTTGTATATTTTTGGGTTATTCTGTATCACAGTCGGCTTATAAATGTTTTGACCCGTCTTCTCACCGTCTTTATATCTCACGCCATGTCAAATTCATCCATCATATATATCCTTCTTTTTCTCCATCCAATACGTCAACAACCTCCTCTTCGGTGCCTCTTATATCTCGCACCAATGTGTTGGCTACCACTCCTCCAGATAATTCCTCTACTTATCCTGCCTCATCCTTATCTAGTCAGCCTACCACTAGCATCCAAACACATTCCCCCACACTGCCAACTTCTCCATCCAATCAACAATCCTCAAATATCTCTTCCAACACCCATATTATATCACCCGTATCCCATGATACCCCAACCAACCAAAATACATCTTCCCCTCCAGTTTCCCAACCCGACTCTTCTCCGCCGTCTTCTCGACCCACCAGAGTCAAACATCCTAATCCAAAGTACTATGGTCCTTCCTTTATTAACATGTCAACCGTTCATTCCCCTGTTCAAACCCTTGAACCCAGGACTGTCACACAGGCTCTCAAGGACCCACTCTGGAAACTAGCAATGGATGAGGAGTTCTCGGCGTTACAAAAAAATGGTACTTGGGATCTTGTTCCTAATCCCGGTCAACAAACTGTTGGGTGCAAATGGATATTTCGAATCAAGCGAAAATTGGATGGTTCGATTGATAGATACAAAGCTCGTCTTGTGGCTAAGGGATACTCACAAGAGGCCGGGCGTGATTATTTTGAAACGTTTAGTCCAGTCATGAAACCAGTCACCGTTCGCATTGTTCTCTCCTTGGCATTGCATCATGGGTGGTCTATCCGTCAACTTGATATTAACAATGCCTTTCTTAATGGCACACTACATGAGGTTGTTTACCTTGATCAACCACCGGGTTATATTGATACTCATCATCCGACTCATGTGTGCCATCTCAAGAAGGCTTTATACGGTCTAAAACAGGCTCCTCGTGCATGGTATGTAGAACTCTCTACATTTCTCATTCATTTTGGCTTCCGCAAATCAAAGGCAGATCCATCCTTATTCATCTATGCATCTCAAGGTATCACCATGTACTTTCTAGTTTATGTCGACGACATTGTTCTCACAGGAAGTAATCCATCCTTTATTGATAAGTTTGTGACTACACTTGCTGCCCGTTTTTCTCTAAAAGACTTGGGAGTCTTACATCATTTTTTGGGTATTGAGGTTATTACTACTTCTTCTGGCATGTTTCTCACTCAATCTCAATACATTTCTGATATTTTGACCAAATTTCACATGGACGGTGCCAAACCAATTTCAACTCCTATGGCCACTGATGAACGCTTGCCATCAGCTGATCCCTCCCACGCTCTTGACATCTCTGATTATCGGCGTCTACTTGGGCTCCTACAATACCTGGGTCTCACTCGTCCAGATATTTCATTTTGTGTTAACCGCCTGTCTCAATATATGCATGGTCCGCTTGCAGCTCATTGGATTGCTGCCAAACGGGTTTTAAGGTATCTCAAAGGAACCGTGTGTCATGGTCTTCTCTTACGCTCTGGCTCCCCTCCTCATCTTACTGCATTTTCAGATGCAGACTGGGGTGGTACCACGACATCAGGTCGTTCAACTACGGCTTACATTCTTTATTTGGGTTCTAATGTGATTTCATGGAAATCGGCCCTTCAAAAATCAGTATCTCGGTCTTCAACTGAGGCCGAATATCGGGCCATCGCCAATGCTACGGCGGAACTTCTATGGGTCCAACATTTACTACATGAGTTGGCCATCCCTATTAGTGCAACTCCACGTCTATTTACTGACAGTTTGAGTGCCACTTATGTTTGCAAAAATCCAGTTTTTCACTCTCGCATGAAACATTTGTCTTTAGATTACTTCTTTGTTCGTGATTTGGTTATGGCAGGTTCTTTATGTGTACATCATGTCCCATCGAAAGCTCAACGTGCTGATATTCTAACCAAGCCTCTGGGACGGACACCTTTTCTTCATCTTCGTTCCAAGATTGGCGTCTCCAACGGATCCTCCATCTTGCGGGGGCGTATAAAAGATATATACTAGTTAATTTGTTATTATCCTTACTTAATAATCTTTAGCTAATGTTTATCTAGATATAACCGTATGTATATATCTGTTGTAACCAATCTGATAGAGTTAGACTGTAACTCTACTTCTAGTCTTATAAATACTGATGTAATACGTAGCTTTACAATTGAAGGATACACATTATTTACACTTTGGACGGAAAGATGTTGGCCGGTGGTGGAGGGCTATGGATAGAGAGATGTTGATCGGTGGTGGACTGCTGACAGTAGGTGGGATTGGGGGGGTGGGTGAGGCAGGGGCTTGGGTGTAGTGGTTGTAGTTGTTGGCCGGTGTTGGTGGCTGCCGAAGGTAATTGGGCTGTGTGGCGGCGGAAATTGGGCGGTGCTGGCAGCGGTGTCACTGTTGTAGTAGGCGGGCAGTCACTGTGTCAGTAGGCGGGCTGTCACTGTGGCGGCGGAGTCACTGTGGCGACGGAGTCACTGTGGCGGCGGAGTCACTGTGGCGGCGGGGCAGTCACTGTGGTCGGCGGAGCAGTCACTGTGGTCGGAGGGGTCACTTTGGCCGGAGTCACTTTGTCCGAAGTCACTTTGCATTGTAGGATTAATTGTGATGTTGGTCACATTTTTTGAATTTTAAAAAAGAGATCACTTTTTTATCTTGTATCCTATTTTTAGTAATATTGGAATAAAAAGGCCATAAACAAATGTCTCACATTCTAGTTCTGCCCTAAAGTTAAAAAATAAAAATTGAAGTTCCTAATCAAACCTAAAAAATCCTAGAATAAATTTCAACATCAATTCTCCCCAATGGGTAGTATCCAGTAAAGCATATCATTGTCTCTTGGCTTCACCCACAACTTATTTCTATCAAAGCAGTTCAGATCCATACAGCTTCACCGATCATCTAGCGGAGAGGCATAATCTTTTACATTCTTGCTAACTACATCCCATTCATCCCACACTTTAGCACCTACCAACGACTTAATGTACCAAATCGATCTTCTAGCAGCGCCGATTTCCCTTATATTCCGTATATATCTCCGGTGATTGAGAGCTTCAAAAAGAAGAAAGGTGTGAGCTCCTTGGGTTGAGATTATTGGCCGAAGGGTATTTATATATAGGGAAATTGAGACTTGAGGGTGAGCTGTGTATTACGTATTATGCTATCTTTTGTGTTGGTGTACTATCTAATCTAATCTAATAATACTCCGCAACACACTAATATTCTCTAGATAATAGATACTACGTACATATGTTCATTGATAGGACAGATTGTCCAGTTACACCTGTTTGCGGGAAAAGTCAAGTAGCGTATTAAACACGCCAAGATAATTATTCTCCCAATGTACTACATCTTATCAATTGCTAATGTTGCAGTAGCATAAGTGACCCGGTTGTGATCCATGTTTTACCCGTGTCTTTTGGAGGGAAAATGACCAGTTTTTCCACATCTTTTTAAATAGAGTAAGATTTTTGACCGTCTTTTTCATTCTTGTTTCCAAATAAAACACGTACGTATTAAACCTCGTTTAATTCTCGTACCGTATTTAACTAAATATGCAAAAAACATAAAAGAGTTTTGAGACAACGATAAATCAAAAGAAGAACATAAAGCAGTTTGACCAGACAAGAAAACAATGGTTTGACCAGCCACCGCTAAAGGTTCCTCGTGGTTATCCTCAAATTCTTCAACTACTTGCGGTGCTGCCCGTACAGCACCGCCACTTCCAAGTTTTTTGGAGCAGCTTCATCCACGTCCATACTTGCATGTGCCCCCTCCTCGCTAACCTAATCAGTGACCCTGCGCTTTCTTGGTGCTTCTGAGCTGTAGCAGTATCCTTTCCCTTTGATCTGAGAGGAGTCCTTCCACTATATATCTCTCATGTTCACTTATTGCTTTATTGGAATCTGATCCCTCATCCCTCATGACTCTTGGCTTGTTATTGCTAGGAATGAGCCACCTGTTACCCGGATGCGATCCACCCCGCCTCGTATCAGCTTGTAACCATGACCCATAAGGCTTCTCCCCGATCCATGCATCTATCACTATGTGGATTAGAGGGACAGAAACGATCAGCATGACCAAGAATCCCACACAGGAAACAAAAATTTGGGATTCTCTCATAGCGAAAGTTTGCCCAGATCCAGTTATCCCCCTCATGTAATACTTTGCACGGGAGTGAAGTAGCTATGTAATAGTTTAGACGCAAGTATATAAAAGCAAACTAAAGAAATACATAGTAAAAATTAAATGGAAAAATGATGTGATGAAAAAGATGTACACGTAAGTCTATTAAACCGTTGAGTAAAATTCATTTCATAGACTTGTTAATTGTTACTCTCGAGACCTTCGCCACATACAACAATTCATGCAGGGTAAGA